ATAGAATGCTCCACTTAAACATGGAACAATGACCAAGACATCTTAATATACTATCTATTAGATTTTTTATTTGCGTTTTTGTCTGTCAGAAAGAAGTATGGACAGGTTTGAGAGCAGAATTTAGCAGTCCATTTCAAATGCATTCGAAAAAAGCAGACAAATTACCCGATGTAAAGAAACAACATGTGAGCCCATGTAACTGTAGCAGATGTGGTATCTACAACTACTCTTCAACTACCAAAAAAGAGACTAGAACTCAAGAGAACTCCGGTGCCATTCTACATGTATGTATCCCACACTGAAATAAAGTAAACTTCTCTGAACTTGAGGTAAAGTTTAGAGAATTCACTTTTCTAACTACCTCTAAATGTAAGAAAGAAAGTTGAATACTGGTTTAATAAAGAAGAGCACAGTGAATTACAGAATGATTGCAGAACACCAACTGCTCTTATTACAACTCAAGTTTCTCAAGAGAAAAAAGATACAGAACCAAATATCCTCGGTGGCAAAGTAACTGTGTCTTCAATCTAGTAATTTTGGCTAAGTCAAATTCTTCAGTGGAAATGCATCCACACCATGCTTCCCAACAGAGGCAGACTTGAAACCTCACTGAAAAGATAAGAACCAACTGGCAATACAGATCATCTTCCAAAGAAATTTACCATTCAGATGCCAAACCTTGGACATACTGACAGAAATCTGGGCCATCGGATATTTCATATTACTACTGCCCATCTGTTACCTGCTTTGAATTAAAAATCTTGTAACCTCTAGCTCCATATTTTACTCTTAGTCTCAACTCTTATTTTCATGGTATGTGGTTCAGAATTGCATATAGTCAAAACCCACTTAAATCTTGCTTAACAAAATTAAACAGAATTTCAATTTAGCGAAGCAGGGTATTTTAAGAGTTAGTTACTATGCATGTCAGGTTGTTCCATAGGCTGAAACCTGCCTTTATAGTCAGTTAAAAAAAAAGTGGCACAAACAGAAAATTGCCAGCTGTTTACGTCTGCCTTTGTTCATCATCACTACTTTTGGCTGCTGTTCTTCCCTATGTTGAGTATCTACAAACTAAAGTATTTCAGGGAGTGGCTAATGACTTGTAAAATTAGAGCCTAGGCTTATGGCTGGCACTGTACAAATGAGTAGTCTTTCCCTTCTGTAAGAGCAATGTGAGACCAAAGGAAAAAAAAAAGAAAAAAAGACTATTAGAGCCCAGATTTTACATATGGTCCATACAAGGATACCAGCCAGCTTTTGCTTTGCTCATGCAGAACCTTTCTACCCAGTTTTGCAATGGAAATAATACATTTGCTTTCCCCAGTGACAGCTGCACTAAGTACATGGTTGCTTTACTGAAGGACAAGCAGCAGAGATTCACCAGTTCATTAAAAAACCTAAATCGAAACAAAACCAACTGAAACAATTCTTCGTAATCCCCTGGCCCAGATGGTTAAAAATAAAAAAAGGAATTGGATATATTTGATGCCGACAGCAGCACAGAGTGCAGAAGAAAGTGAGAAAAGCCATGAACAGTATAAAAACAGCGTGGTATGAATCTGTCTTCAGAATCAGCTATGGAGTTGCTTTATTTTTACATTACTATGCACTGAGGAAATAAAAACACAGGAGCACTATACGTTAAGCATCATAGGAAAACAGCAACAAAAAAACAAGAGTTCTGCGCACCGGTCCTTTTACTTTAGCTGCCTTGAGATGGGATTGCTGGTACCCTGTTGCAGTTGCAGAGATGGCAGTTGTTCCAGACTCATGGTGAACTAGAACAGTTTGTAAGCCTAGAATCAAACAAGAAGTCAAATAAATCTGATTATGAGGAAGAAAAAGATGAAACGTACACTGCTAATCTCTTCCATTATCATTCTAAACAGACAAGGATTTTCTCTCTTGACACAGGTTCTAGGCATTGGGTTTGGTTCTGGTTCTTTTTTTTTTAATTTCATTTTTATTTTATTTTTTCCTGGTTTTTTTTTCTTTTTTTCCTTTTTTCCTTTCTTCCTTTTTTTTTTTCCAATAGCACACACTTAAAATGCATGTTGAGGATAAGTTAAAATATGGCTGCAGATTACAGTAATTTCTTTAATCAAGCTCAGACATTACCAAACAGATTTAATCCTGACCTTCTTCAAATAATGAAATGTTCTTTTAAACTAATTCATACCATGCATTTTCTTTTGACTGCTTCCATCTTCTTTCAGAGTCAGCTCCATTGGCATATCAGGGTCAATATTAGCTAAGGACATTTTCGTTGATTCCCAGATAACACTAAGAGAACTGAAGTTATCAAATTTACTGCCCTGTTGGTCATACGCAGCCAAATCCAACACTGGATTGCGATAATTTGAAACAGGAACCTGAAAAAGAATGAATACTTTGAACAGATGCAAGAGGATTTTTTTTAATCATTAAAACAAAGTATGCTGATTTCCATGAGATTTATTATAACACTCATTACATGAGTAATGTTCATTAAAGTGAGCCATCAATGCAAAGTCCTTAAGCTGTACTTTAACTGCAAGGGGTTTTTTTGGGGGGTGGGAGCATGGGGTGTTTTTAGCCAGTGAATTATCTTAAAACAAAAACTGAACCACACAGTTCAACTACGTCATCTTTGGAATTCAAACAAATAATTAGAAATACTATTTGTCTATTTGTCAGAAGACATAGCTCAAACTTCTAGTGTTCATCTTGTGAAATGCATTAGCAATAGCAGCGTACTGATGTAGTCTGACACATAACAGAGCTAGAAAAACAGGTGAACTCTGAAGTGACTTATAATACGCAAAAATCTTCTCATCGTGTTATTACATAGAAGTTAAAGTGATTCATCAACTCAATACACATTACATTTTTATGAAAGTGGGATGACTTTTTATTTGCCTGGTAATATTAACAGAACAAAACACACAGTTCATGCAGCAGAAAACACGTGACAGCACTCATTAGGATACAGAAGAAAGAGTTCTTTATGCTTGATAATCTACACATCTGCATTGTCCATTTATTGTGACTCAGATTTGTGAAGCTGAATACATCTGATGTCACTGAGCAATACTCACTGTATATGCTTACATAGGTATCTTCAGTGTTTGTGCCTTTACTAATAGACACACACAAATGTACACTTATGTAATAATGTGTGTACGGTAAAATATGTTGTACTTCCCTTAGAAACATTTCCCCCTTCCATCCCTCTTTTTTTTTTTTTTTTTAAATAAAAAAAGTTTATCTCAAGTCAGAAAGGTTTCTTCACAGTGACACTTCTGTGAGAGGCCACAATCCAAATGCTTTTACATCTACTCCCATTTTCTGGTAGGTCCCTTTATAAACCTGTTCAAATGATCACTGTAGGAAACTCACATTCAGATTGCTCTCTGCAGAAGCAGGCAACGATACCAGTGTGGACCACCACACTGGAGTTACAGCTGCTCTTGCAGCAAGTCAGACACTATTTCGTATGTGGAGGTCCAAACACTGATTTTTAAGTGATAAGAACACATTTTTTTCCTGTCACTCCCCACACTTACCACTTGCTTGTTTTGTTGCAGCAAAGGGCAGGAGAGATCAAGCTGAGGACTTCCATAAACAGGAGTCAAAGTGAGTCGCGAAGGGACAGCACAGATGAACTTCACAACAGCAGGCTCAACCGCTGGAAAAGGGTTGGTGATTGTGGGGTTGTTTCCAACTGTTAAGGTAATAACCTGTACAATTATGAAAACAGGCAAGTGAGAAGAGAGAAAAGGACTACTGAGTTCAGGCATATTCTATTTCATGCATCTCGGTTACACTCTGATGTCAGAATGAACAAGCAAAAATATGATTCTTGAGGATTTACAGCAGCATTAAGACACAGGAAGATGTAAAATAAGTGCATATTTCAAGAACAGTTCTGCACCATTATCACAGTACTATTCCTGGGAACTTCTATGTATTCATGTTTATTACTACCAAACCTGAGTCAAGCAACATATCTTTTGAAGCTTAAAAAGCGAACAGACAGGCATTTTTCTTGCAGAGTGAGAATAGAACATTTGTAGCCACTTCAGTGTGTTTAAAAACATGTTATGTTTTATTTTACATTGCTTTTTTAGCCCTCAACAAAACAAAGTGGATGTAAACACAGAGAAGGCTATCTAGCAGGCTGAGGGAGCTCTGGTTACCTGTCTTATCCACCCTGTATGCACTGGTGCTACCCAGAACCATGGAGACATGATCTGTTCTGGACAACAAGGAGGACAGACAGCCAACGCATGCACAGATAACAAAAAATGTTTGTTCCTTTCTGAATTTGCGCTTACAGAAATAGCTACACTTTATACACCGTCCACTGAGGAAATCAGTTAAACAATTTGGCAACCACATCAAAATGCTTAGGCCTTGCAGAATTACAGGAGAAAAACATTAAATCAAAGCTAAATGCTTTATAAAGTGGCCAGAGTGAGTAAAGCAGGATAAGTCACTTCTGCATGTTGGAAAAAACAAGACCAGGTGGAAAATGACTACAGCCACAAATATCAGAGCAGTAAATTCATATGGTTGTCATTTGTTTGACTAAACAGAATCACACTGGAAGGCAACGTGGTTAAGAGGAGCAGGGCAGACAGAAGAGTCGCTTTAATGCGGTACCCTTCTGCTATGATCCTATTTTGCGAACTGAAGCTGCGCTTATTAGGATCTGTTTAACGCATTGTACAACATAAGGTTCCTGTGACTTGGCTTTACATCGCAGTAAACCCATCATAAACCACTTTATAACGTAATGTTATGAACTGCTCGCTCTAAAACATAATGTTATGAAATGCTCACTCTAAAACCTGTACCAGCATCACAATGCATAAACTATGTACTTACCCAAGTTCTCTTCTGCCTTATTATAAAAACTACTTGTTATATAAAAGGTATATGGTATCATAGATCTGCCTGAAGCCTGTTCTCAACTGCCTTAGCTCAGTGTTTGACAGAGGGCAATACAAATACCTTCTGGCACTTACTTGCTCTCCCAGGCTTTTGCAAGACACTCTAACCCAGTGCTGGATGTTATTTCGAGATATAGGAGGTCCAAATAAAGACAGACCAATACTTTCTGCATCCTCAGCAGTGACATTCCTGAAGAACTTTGAAGGTTCTTGTACCCATGGTCTAGGTCCTCCTTCAAATAACATATCTTTAGAGGAACCCAAAGTCACTAAAGCAACAGATGGAGGATCAATAGTCTGTAATGAATGACAGTTACAAATTAATGATTCCATTTACTCATAGTTTGGTTGTACTTTGCAAAAGAAACTTCCTTCTTAATGGAAAAGCTATCTTTGTTACTTTGATTAGGCTATGATTTTTCCCACACCATGGTTAGTAAGCATGGTTATTTAAGAACAGAGTTGTACCAAAATAATTAGCATCACCTACAAGAATTCTGTCCAGTTGGATTATATTCAATGGAACCCACGGATCCAAAGAAAAGTTTTAGCTACATTCCAATCATATCTCTTTTATGAAGAATTACAGCAAGAGAAAGACCCTGAATATACTCTTCTGAGCACATCAGAGAGAGAGCTTTCTACTACATTTTTTTTTTAATAGACAGTACTTTAACGAAATAACGTCAAATTTTACTCTTTAAAAATCCTTTCACTTGACTGTGCTCTCTCCAGCACAGTTCTGTGCATGTAATTATTCTCCTACGCAAGTTTTACTTCAACCCTCTACAATAAATTCTACACTGATGTGCATCACTGGGACAGCCTGTGCTATTTATCATCACAGAAGTTAACCTGACATTTTAATACACAATAACCATTTGTAGCTTGTGTTCCACAACATCATATTACTCAGGAGTTTAGTAAAAAAGAAAGAGCAGCTAACATAAAGGATGGTTCCATTCTTTCCATAGGTGCATTTTGGTAGGAAGAGAGAGAAGGCATGGGAAGGGCTGGCATGAACATTCCTCTTTCCTCCCATTTATTCCCTAGTTATATTTGTAATATAAAGGCAAAAACCCATTGGAAAACTGTGAGATTTAGTTTCAAGTGTCTGCCTGCCCTTTGACTCCTGTTTATCCTTCTCCCACTTTTTACTTTTTGGATTTTTTTTAAATAGGTATCTGACAGAAAAATGCTGCCTTCCATTTCTGGGCATCATAAATATCTCATTCTACAGAAAGGAGAGAAAAGAACGTGGACATCACTGTTCTACACTTCAAAGAAAAAAAAAGTTCTTCACTGTGATATCTAAACACAGAATTTTTTTTTTTCTAAAGTGCACTTTATTTACTCTCCTTGTCACCACGTATTGGCTGTTAAGCACCCTAGAATCATTTCAATTTATATATTGAAAGCAATGTTAGAATACATCAAGGGGCTTTGCCAATAAAGTGAATGATACCATACATATGAAAAGTTCATAATTCAAGGGACTATGCCTCTCTCTCACATTACTGCCAATAACAGAAAGTTTGGACACCCTGCTCAGGATGTTTCAGCATCTTCAAATAATTGTACTCAGCTATTTAAGATCTTTACAGAAAAGCATATTTAAATAAGTAAAATCATCATTTCAGTCACAAATTTGTACAATTTGCACAAACTTTTGATCCAGATTTTGGGGAAAAAAACCTATGGTCAAATGTATTAAACTTCAGCTTTGCAGATTCAGTGTTAGATCTCTGAAGAGAGGGGTAACATATGCATACTGTTTCATATTTACATATATTGACCCTGTACTCAGGTTTGTTCTTCCTGTTATTAGTGAACTGTTCAACAGTGAAATATCTTTCTCCCATTTGTAGGGGAAAAGAATGTATTTTCATCACTGTATAGGCAAACCAGCTTTGCCTTCCTGCAAAAATCAGTTTATATACTACGAAAGCAGAAATCATAAGCTAGGTCTACTTCCGTTTGCCATTATGGACACACAATTGTGACTGCCCCCTTACTACCTTATGAAGTCAATTGTTAATCAGTTAAAATGGACAGTCAAGAAACAAATGATTTGAGTGTCACATAATTTTCAACCCATCTAGAGTCTGCTGAAAAAGTAATTTACTAAATCAGGTGTCCTGTGCAAAACAAGATATATATCCTTACTGAGAGCTGACTCCTATTAGTGTCCATCTTCAGATGACAGCCATTGTGATTCTCTTACCCAAAGTCAGAAAAATGGGTAAGGATATCAAATTCATTTTTCACTTCAGAAGTTGCAACAACCTGCTAGTTCGCTATCGCATTACTCACTCCTCTACAGTTGGCTTGCAATATCCACGTAGGCAAACTCTACTATATATATATGCTCCACAGAGAAAGGGTTAAAACACAACTCTCCAAAACAGCCCCTAAGTTTTTCCCTGGGAATCAACCACCTGCCTCATTTCTTTTAAACATATTCATAATATCAACTTGCTATTTGTCATTTGAAGGCATTTTAAGCAAAATGAATTGCTCTAACAGCAGCAAAACCAGACTTACTTTTAATGGCAGATAAGCAGCGATGGTGATGCTAGCACTGAGGTGGACATGACCATGGGTGTAACTAACGACAAGTGCTGTGTATCCTTGAGTTTCAGCTTTCACTCTGACTCCACTACAAAAATCAGCAGTTGGCTTAAGCCTTCCTGTCAGATAAATTAAAAATATATAAATACATATTTGGAGAGAAATGCCCAGGCATTTTAACACAAGTTCAACATGGCTTTTCTCGACAAAAGCATTTCCACCAGAAGCAAGTAGAGATGTGTTCTCCAACCGAATAGGTAAAAATGTTCACTACTGCCTTTCATCTCAAACCCCACACTTACTGAAGTATCCATGTCTCAAACAGGACATGAGTCTTTACTCTGGTACAAACTAATATAACTTCTGTCTCTTACTGAACATTTTCATCTTGCTCTTCTAAAATGAAACTGGCTTGTAATTAAGCACAAATAAGTTACACTGCTTAAACAAGCTTTCCTACCGAGAGCAACTTGAACTGCAAGTAATACATAATCCCTCTAGCTGAACACAAGGTATTTTCATGAAATTTCTCTGCTTACTTGGAGGACTTTTTGGGGTTTGGGAGGGGTCTATTTTTTCTTTTTTTTGAAACAAACAGTAGAACAGCATACTCCATAGTGACATTTAAAATAGTTGCCTCTCGGGCAAACAGATGGTACAATGCAGAGTGGTTTTACTGGCTCAACAGCACAGGAAAGAGCTTCCATGCAAGAGACACTTGGACAAAATTAATGGTACATCTGAATAACATACTGCATTCAGGAGACACAGGAAAAAGCACGTTGTTCAACGTCTACTTAGCTCAGCAACATTAATGGCAATCTTTGAAAACAAAACGCATACTCCATATTCTCAATAAACCTGACAAGAGGCATTTCTTAAACCAATGAACTTCAGGACAGAGTTTTAGCAAAATTTAAGCAGCTGATTGTCTTAGTTCCTTGTGAGCAAACAATGAACAGTCTCTTTATAGAACTGAAAGCACTGCTGGACAATTTCAGCAAAGCAGTTATTAATCTTAGTGTTCTTTTAAGTCTTCCAATGCTACCTCAAACCACAATATAGGTTTTCTCATAAGAGGGGTCCACATATCAGCTTTATTACAGAAGCATGTTAAAAATACTAAATCAGTAGAAAGACATACAGGAGACGTCACATTATCCAATAAAATAATTGTCAGAATGCCTTCAGAGTCCCTCAAAACATCAAAAATATTGAAGGGAAGTTCTGCATAAAAAAGTAAATACATACTCAAAATAAAACTACTCTGATCCCCACCTCTGAATTAAGCACCTCTCTAGGAATACTGTACACAGCAATTGAAACAGTGATTTAAAGGAAATGCGTCCCTTAGTAACATCTTAATTTAACTTTCAAAACAGGGAGGGGGTCAAATCACCTTGAAGTGGCCTGAACACACCACGGTTTTCTACTTCCACAACCAGGTCAAAGTGCGAGCAGTCACTCAGTGGGACTGTCTCGCCCGTTTCGACATTTGTTAGGCCATTAATCCTCAAGGGCAGCTCCAATATTTGGCCAACGCGTGCTTCAACTTGACAAGGTGTGAACTCCATCCCACTAGGTTCAGTTACGTACACCTGAAGGAGGAAAGAAACGGAGGACAGATGTATGAACACAACTCCACGAAACGGTACCAGGAACAAAGGACATAGACCTGACGTAGTTAGCGAGGCTCCCCAGCCTCTGTCGCTCACAGCAGCAGGTATGTAGATGTTAATTAATGACTCAAACATTTCCTCAATGGCTTGCTTGCTTGCTTTCTTTCTTTCTTGCATTTCTGTTGGCAAAACATTTTTAAAGGTGTCCAAGGCTCAATATCTCCCCACTGTAATGTCATAAATCTAAAATAAGTGAACAATTATCTACTAATCTTAACAACCTTCTGCTTCAACAAGTAGTCTTTGTGTGAGAGAGACTTCTGAAATCAAAAGGATTACTTTCAAAAATAAGACTGGCAGAAATAGATCTATGCTGGCACATTGATGAACAAGCCTTAGCCGTATTATTTGTGATTCTGATTTGCTACTTTTTCCATTAATGTTAAAGAATCCACCACAGACGGCATATTTCGTAACAATCACCATGATCAAAGCTTATCATTTGCAATATCTTAACTTGCTAACCATCTGCAAATGGCTTCAGGATAGAACATTGAACCATATGGTACAGAGTTAAAACTGCAATCCTTGTGGAACATAGTTAACTATTCCTAAAACTTGCTCACTTGAGGTCAGTAAATAGAACTCTTCATAGTTATTCTATGAAGAATGCAATTCCTAACACAAGAACAAAGGCATTCAAAAATAACCTATTCAGATTGTGTAATACACTGCTCTGAAAGCTCACATGGAGAGAAGTATTTTTTCTGTCTTCAGGCTTTGACTTACGTTTGAGGATAAGAAGTTTTAACTGAAAAATCTTCATTCCTGTATCTCCTGCTGGTAACTGTTGCACTGCTAAAATCAGCATCCTCGGTTGTCCAAAGAATAATTTCAGAGTAAGTTTGTAAACTAAGTTCTGCACAAATTTTAATTTATGTAATTATTTTAAGCATTTAAGTCATTATTTGAAGCATGAAGTTTAGCACCTCTCTCAAATCCATTTTGTAGAACTGACACATAATCTGAGCACAAAACCCAAGCCAATTTGCCCCTCAAAAACCCAGCATTAGTAGATGCAGCTATTCCAAGTAAAGCTTGGATAGAAAGATCTTTCCCAAAACACACATACTAAAAAAACAAAACAAAAAAAGAGAGAGAGGAAAAATATCTGCTTATGTAGTTCTCTCCCCATTACGGGAGAGACTTAGCAGTCTGGATCAAACACATATTTTAACACTTTTGTCAAAAGGGACTTTGGCGCAACAGAAGTGCAGTACAGCAGTAACAGTAGTGCTGCACATGGGAATACTTACAAATTATGAGGTATTTTGTATAGCTAATGTATGCATATTTGATGCAATCAGCTTGCTCCCCCCCCAGTTGCTAAATTACAGGCATATACCCTGGAAGGAAGGTGCACTGCCCAAGGGCTCACAAGACGGTGCTTCCTGCATCACCTTCTCTGCTCCCTCAGAAACAAAGACATCACCTTTATAAAGCTGTAGCCAGATGGAGGTTGTTTGCCAGCCTCAATAGTATCCGCTTGGCACAAACAAACCTATTTCATCTGTGACCACGCAGTTAGACAAACACAGCCCCTGGATCCCTGATTAGTCACATGTGCTCAGTACACTATCTCTTAGTTTTTCTGATGTCAGGAGCAAATTTCCTCCTCTCCGTCGGGTTTCCATCCCAACGCTTAGCTCTTTGCAAAAGGCACGGAGTTAAAGCATGTATTAGAATGCCTGAATTTGAGAACGTAGCAGAATAGCACTACTTCACAGTAGCAAATACACACCACAGCAGTACTGATGTTCAGTTTCTGTTCTATCATGTTACAGGTCTGGCAGCTCTCAAGAGCTTGACAGAGTAAGTACTGACACAGTTTCATTCAGGAAAATTATTTGTGTCTAAAAATTTCCAAATCAATAACATTCTAGAGGAAAATATTTAAGATTGTGTATTTACAGTGTTAACCACAGCAGCTTCTTCACCTATCTTTGCACGCTTGTGTAATGACCCTGTGGGGTCATTACATTTACCATTCCTGTATCTTCTTCACACCACACACTGATCACCCTGACCAAATCCTAAGAACAGGGTACGATTTGCACAGAGACCACAAAATCCCTCGTGGGAGGTGTATTTTTCATTCCCATTTTCTCCTGATTTTTCTAAAAGATTGTTTTTCCTTGGACAGCTTTGGTATCCAGATTCATTATGTGGCACTGTATAGCATTTCAGCCACTTCTCCAGGCAGGAATTTCCTTGCCATCATTTTGTATCGAGGGAAAACCCACCTCTTACCCTGCAGAAGCACTTTTAGTTTGGCTTGTCTGCTTAGATAGCTAGGCCAGTAATAAATTACTATTTCCTTCTTGCACTCAAAACTTTCAAAGGAAAAAGACTTGCCAAGGAAATGTGGAAGGGGCAAAAATGGGACTAAAGTTAGTGCAGAGGAGAGAGCTTGAATCCCCAGAAGCAAAAAATCTCCACAGGGCAGGCAGGGAAATCTCTCGGGAACATTTTGGAAAGGGGAATGCCTATGGCATTCTCAGCTTCTTCACTGTTTCCAGAAGCCATACTCAAGAGGGATCAGGGAAAATAAAGAGTTTTACCTTCATTTCTCCATAATGCAATGGATTCTGAACATCAATTGCCTGAATAACACTGACGCCAGTATCACTTCCGGTTGACATTACTCCTTTGACTGTCACTGTAGCAACTGCCTGGTTAGAATAGGACCAGCTGAAATTTCCACTTCCACCATAAGCCTAGAATACAGAGAGAAAATATTTCCAGTATTTCATAAAGTATATGGTTCTCACGTTTCTTAGCTGTCAAGCTTTTGAATATCCTGCATGAAAACCAGGGACACATTGAGCAACAACAATGCTGTTACTGAGGAAACACAAATAAGATAACAACTCAGAATTTTTAAATAAGCAAGGTCAACTGAAAGATGAGAAGTTACCACCCTTCATTCATTTTCATTTCAGCTTTCTTCATGCACATATCGTCTGTGCTCACCAGTGCTGCTAACCCAAGTATCTCCCTCCCAGCTGCAGAGGTCTGATGCTTACAACTCCCAATGACTGACAGTGCTTAGAGTCAGCAGAGCATTTCACAAACCAGCACACCAGAGGCCTGGCACGTGGGATTGTCGTACTTCTGAAAACTCCCACTGTTACCCTGTTGCTGACAGCCAAAGTGCTGATTTTGGGTCTCAGGGCTGCTAACCTGACACTCTGTACCTACTAGCTTCTTTCAATTGGAATTGTTAAGGGATCTAAAGGGAAGAAAAAAAGTGGGAGGCAGGGAGGGAATGAGGCAAGAGGGGAAGAAAGAAAAAGAAAAAAAAAAATCATCACTTTCTTCTTGGCATTACTTCTTTATTTTTATGCTGAAAATCAGCACGTCTACCTGCAGCCATTCAACAGAGGTGCTGCTCCAGCAACTGATCAGTCATGGAACGAGCGATAGGCACATACAGAAACTGCCCACTCTTGCCACAAGCACCGCGAGGGTCTGCAAAACGTACAGGCTACACTCCCACAATGGCTTTCCAAGGAAGGAGTCAGCAGCTGCCAAACTTACAAGCTCAGGTTTATCATGCAGATTCCCATAAAAAACCGCAAAGCCATAAAAAAAGAAAACTCCACCCTCTTCCTAGAGCTCCCAGCTCTTGAAGCTTGTTTCACAATTAGAAGAGCTTAAGTGAGTGGAATTATTCTATAGAAGGGTAAGAACTAGTTACTTGATATCATGGTCCACATCAACAGAGACAAATTATTATAGCCACAGTATAAACACTTGGCAGCCAGGACAGGGTTATATCTGCTGCAGGTTCATATATTATAAAGTGAAGGGCCAAAAAAACATTTTTCCAGCACAAGTAGAGTATTGTCCTCCTAGATGTGTAATACTAGTTACTGAAGAAACATAATCATTACAATGCTGTAAAATGTATAGGTTTTAAACAGCATTGTTGTGAGCTGTAGGAAGTGTCTGTTGAGACAAATACCGTGCAGAAAGGTACACTGAGAATAATGCATTAAAAAAAAAAGACTTTCACGCTCCAAAATAAATTTCAAAGTTCCATCAGAGTAAAACAAGGGTGACCATCGGAGCAATTTTTCTGTTTATGTGTATTGTTTCTGTTTCTTTAACTTCCTCAGCATTTGCTCCAACCCATTTCATAATTAAACTAAAAATGGACAAGATGATAAATCTTGTCTAGACAGACAGTGTGGGAAATAAACAAATCTAACTTATGCAACAACTAATAACTTTAACCAGAAAAAGTAGTAAAAAAAATCAAAAGGACAATAATTTCCCTTTTTCCTTCCCCTGAGCATGTGCACAACCTGATTACAGAAAGAGCACTGGACAAAGACAAATGGATAAATAGGTAATGGTGTGTGACAGAAGGAGAAGCATGGGATGTGGTGAGAAATATTTAAAGAATGTAAAAGTTCAGAATGTTTTCTAAAGATATTTTCAATTAAAACAGGGAAACAAGCAGAAAACATAAAACAGAAATACTCAATTCTTAATAAGTCTACAGAGTCACATCTTATTGCCATACAAACCAGAGGCATTACTACATTTTTCGCTCTAGCAGTCAGTTTGCACTGAGGAGAGAAAGGATAAACCAGCTTCTATTTGAGTCTAATCATTATCCACAGCCTGTTAGCTGCACTCCACAAACTGTTCTTAGTGACAGTGATGCCCCCAGTACAAAAAAAAAAAAACCCTCCACACACTTAACTTCACAGGGAAGGAGGGAAGGAAACATCCTTCCTCCCTCTTTTTTTTTTTTTTACTTGCAACAGAAGCCATCTTATTAGCACAAATATGAACAAAGCTACTAACACAAAAACCAGACAGCTGACAAAGTAAAACCTCAAAGTCATTCAGATACCATCTGGAAGGACTTACTTTAGCTATAACCAGAATTTGGCTAGAACCAACAATCTTTTTCAACTTATTTTCAGAAAAAGTCTATTCACCAATTTAAAATAGCCTGACTCAAAAACTATCAAGTAGAGGCAAACACTAATCTACAGGCAGGAACAACAGTCAAGCTGCGTGCTACTGTAAACAACCACTAGTATTGTTGAATGGGCACATCAGGAAAATGTTCTCAGTTTTCTCAGTTTCAGTAAATGCAAACTGATTTCAATGTTGGGAGAAAAAAAAGGTTTTATGTTTTTAATGAAAAAAAAAAATCACATTAACATAAGAACACTGATGCAGATTACTGGAGTAACACAAAGGCATGTTCTCCAGTGAGATATCTGATGATGTACGCAAGATAAGGTAAGATGAATAGAACTGTACAAGAGGTGAGAAACAGAAACACACATTTACTTTCTCTTACTGGACTCTAGCAGAGGTTATGAAGTACTGAAAATGCATATTTGTACTAAGAATTTTTACCACACTCTGCTGGTGTGGTTGGGTATAGCATGAACTAAACCAAACTAATGCCATAGAAATTAAAAATATGGATGACAGCGTTAAACTCAATGACGTTAACTTCGGATTTACACTACAGAGTGCAATTTTATCCCTGTGAGACTGATTTGGTTACTTCAGACACCACGTGTCCCACTGCCTCTTTTTGTGTACTTAAAGACAGACCCAAAACTCAGCACTACATCATGCTAAAAGGGAGAGGTAGAAACTGCATGGAACACTTGAGTGCAGGATCTGGGTATCTTTGGGTGAGAGTCCTGGCTAGGGAAGCACAAGGTTCTTTTCTCCAGTTAGATTATACTCTGGATGCTGGAAGACGTTTGCTTCATGAAGTGTACGGAAGGATTCGCAGCACGGGAGCAAAGACACACATGACAAATGCAGGAAAAAAGTCCCCTTAGAAGGTCACACTGTAAATGAAACAGTGGCCTTTCCCTCCCTGTAACTTTTTATTAGAAGCATGAGAAGTGTGGTGAGTGAAGGATGCTCATGTCAGGTTGATAGGGAGCTGCTCATTGATCTTGCTATACCCTTTGTGCAGTCACTTCACACTCCAGTTCATACTTCCATCCCTTTACAGTAAATGGCAGCCTCTAATTATTACTATCAAGCTTCGTGCCTAGGATGTTTTCTGTAATTCCAAACCATTCTGTGTGTATATGCGTGGCACATGCATGAAGGAGAGAGAAAGCAAGTGAAAGACAAGAGGTAAAAAGTAAGTGGTTTTTTATGTTTATTGGGGTTTTTTGTATGCCTTTTTATGCATTAATTCCTGCAACTAACATCCAACAAAATTTCTCCAAATAAAGTTTTGGATATCACTGTGCCTGAAGTATCCAAAGTCAACTCTATGTAAGCGGTTACAGGCCTCACTGTGCTTGCTTGAGCAGTACTTCTGCATTTAGATACTTCTTTGGCATACCTGTATGGTGTACTGGTAGATCCCTGCTTTTGGCTGCCAAGGAAACGTCAAAATGCTGGGTGAAAGAACTATGGGAACATATATTTCAACATCTTGCTGGTTTCGCACTGGAACTGGTAATGTATGAACGCCTCCATCCTACAAAAAGCAACAGCACAGTATTAGAAACGGCACCATAGTGCTTCCTAGAATTAATGTTTAGTCCTTATATATGGATGTTGACAATGTCTTGGAGAGAAAGGAAAGCAACTATTTAGGGTCACCTATGAACAGTGTTACTTATGAGCAAATAGTCAGCTCATCGCAGCAAAGTGTGCTATTGTATTAAATGAGTAGTATTACTATGGAGATATAGTTGCCCACATTAATTTAAAAGGCAAAGAGCACTAAGAAACCCACTCTTTCACTACTCATGGTATTTGAGACCTTGTCTGGAGAACTGATTTGGGAACTCCACACCTGCATTTACTCTTTGCTCATTCCACTCTGCAGCAAGTGAAGACAAAACTTGGCCTAAAAGACTCATTTCTCAACCCACCCCCAAACACCAGCCTTTACAACTTTGCTGTAATTGTAATGCCATAACCCTCTGGCACAACATACTGTTTCTTACTGGAGTTCTGAAGGAAAACTTTTAACAGCTCTCAGTAGACCTCATTTCATTCAAGAGTACCTCTCTGACACACAGAATGAGCATTGCTTATCACATACAAGGATCTACTAAATCCTACTCAAGGAATCACTAAAACTGTTTCACAGCAAATGGTTTGAAGTGTTCAATTTTTCCAAGTTTCAAGCAAAAGCAAATCACTTTCACACCACGTGCCCTAGTTAGCCATACATTCAGCAGCCTGCCCAATGAGCAGAAAGTTAATGAATATTAATTTGAAGAAATTTGCAGGCTGATACATTTGGCAGATTTTCATTCCAGCATTTAACATCACTTACCAAATGATAGAAAACTTTCCAAATATAACTGAATGCAGAACAAGGCCAGGGTATGACACTGATGATCCTACCACAATAAATTGTAAAATTCACTCAGAGAATGTGAGAGAACCTTTGCACCAGAACAATGAAACAGTATGTGCCCACATAAGTATCTGCCATGAAAAAAAAATAATCAGTGCTGTGTGCCACTAGTTCAACAGGAGTTTGCCACACACTCAGTAGCAAAATCCCAGAGTCTTTACTTAAGCAAATCCTCTGTTGACTTAATTGACAGTTTTCCTGAAGTAAGGATTTTAGAATTTGGTTCTTAATCTGTGTTTAAACAAGGACAGCTTAGACTCATGTAATTCTTAGGTTTCCTTTTACTATGTCACTATTAAGTCACTACTGCACAAGTCAATTCTTTTTAGGCCTACCAGTAAAGCAGAAGAGGTTTTATAAAAACATACCTGGTCTACTACTGATGTCAGTGCAGCATCAATAATGGTCTGACCCTTCTTTATTGCTTTCACATAATGATACGACCCATTCAGAGATGACTTCAGCACCTCAAAATATTCTTTGGACAACTTTGTATTAATTCTGATATTCTGAAACCAGAACATTAAATAGATATTGCCATGGATAACTGCATTAACACTGTACAGACAGACATAAACATATTAGCAACAAATCAATGAGAAAACAATAACATAGTTCAAAGAAACTTATCTGAAATGGAATAAGAATTTTCCTCTGCGAAAGTTTCAGTCTTTCAACAAGATTGTATCTTGTAGACACAGCATTAACGCCATAGAAAATATTTACTTTTTAAAATTATAAGTGACATGTAATTTAACATGAAAAGTACCAATATTTATACCACTAAATAATTCATATTTTACAATAATTTCTTAATTTTGTCATTCTTAAACACAAAAGGGGAAGAACATGCAAATATAGTGCCCCAATAGCAATAGCACATTTCTGAGATCTAGCTGAAACTCAGATCTGTATCTCAGGAAGCAAGTACAAATATTCAAACATTCACATAAATTTTATCTTCTGAAAAGCAGTAAATTAATAATTTTTTTCTGTTCGCAAATCAACTATTTAATTTTTTTTTCCTTTAAGAGCAATGTATATTTGGTACCTAGTACCTAGAATTCATCTTATTTAACTACCAAACAGTGAAGTGTTTTAACACTAGCTAATCATCTAAGCTTTTCCCACAATCAACTGAAAGGAAACAGGTAGCTCCTCCAGAGTGTTATAAGCCTACCTTACACCCCGTGCTTTAATAGGAAAGATTGCCTCTAGACACGACAACATTACATTTGGGGTGGGGATTGATGCCATGAAGTACCGTATCAGTGCTGCTCTCCAGCAGTTACACTGGTTTGCCACTTACAGTTCAATGCCTATGCTACGTGTTTGAAGTGTATTATCCCATTTCTTCCCGTTTTTTCTACAGCACTTAGACTCCAATGGGCACTTTCACGTGAATCACTCAGAGTGACTTATTTAAAAAAAAACCAAAACCACAAACCAGCAAAATAAAGGGAAAAAGGAAAAGGCAAGAAACAACATGCTTTGAAATGTCCTAACTCAATGTAAGTAAGAAACTGCTCAACTAATTTCGAAGAAAGCCAAGATTTAGGAGACAGACAGTCAGAAGTATATCAACATTGCACTTACATCAGATAAATACACTTTATTGCTTGATTTATCATACACTTCAATTGTAATTTCATAAAGTCTGCCTGTTTCTAGGACCCATCTGCCACCTGGATGAACTGTAAATCCTACAAAACAGGAAATATTGAACAGCACAAATCAACGGCCTCATTACATAACGGATATAAGCATTTTGCTTCTGGTGCCCACACTCTGAAGATGTGCATTCATTGTTTTAAGCTGCTGAATACAGAGATGAAAGAAAATAAATATTTACTACTAAATCTCTTTCACATTGAGCTACTTTTATGAATAAAATTACTTCAAAAATTACTTTTCTATGAAAAGTAATATGAGAAATGGAAGCGTGTACCTACACATAGGAAAAACACCAACACAAAAACAAGGCAAGAAATTACATTAAGCAATCAGGAAAATTGCAGCCAGTACCAACCTAAATATCCAGGATTTACAACATAGATAGTGCTGTTTGGTAGTCTGGAAACCCCTTGCATGCGAATACCTGAAGTCTCAGTAAAGGAACAGAAAAATTTTTTGACAAAAGTCAAGTAAAGATCAGCTTGTTTGGGGCTCTTTGAGCCTCTTTGGCTATTTAAAGCTAATCGTACGCTGAAAATAAATGTTATCCCCGCTAGCCTGAAAAAGACAGTGAGCATTTTAGAGAGACCCCACTCGAGAATATAATGCTCTAAATATAAAAATTAAATAAAGCCCCATCACATTTCCACATTGACTGAGGGGAACAGACATGATTTAATTGAACTTTTGCCAACCTAAATCCTGAGAACATTTCATGGCATCAGGCAGCTCTATCGAGACTGAATTCACAGCAGTGCTGCTTTCTATGGCGCTACCAGGTGCTCCTGATTTTCAGGACTACTGGTACAAATGTGGATAATTTTATCTTTTTCTGCTGCAAAGGGTGGAAAATTTGTCTCCTGCCACAAAGATCTGGGTAGCAAAGCATCACCTAGGAAGGATACTCTTGTGCCCAAGTATGAGGTTAGTTTGTCCCTGCTGCAATGCAGTTACAACCGACGTCGCCTGGTCCAACCTGGCAACCGGCCAAGACGGATCTCCCTCAGGACCAAGTACGTTGTTCTGTAGCTGCAGTTCATATTGATCAGATGGCATCATTAATTCTGTACATGAAACAAGACAACATATGAAACAATAAAAGCCAATGTGTCAGTGTTCAGATGCTGCTAATTAATTTTTATTGATGCCTAGTGCACACACTAAATTAGTATTTTTAATGTCTTGTAGAAATAGCATTTCTATGCTTATACCAACACACACACAATGAGCTTCTCGCCTAACTTTAATTTCTTTCAAGCTGCAATTTCCAGCTATGATCATCCCACTGTTTAGACCTAACATCCCAACTTCCAAAGCAGTCAAATTACATTCTACAAGCTACCAACAATTTCTGCTGCTCCGTTCTGCACTACTAGCTGATGTAGTGAACCTAGTTAGCCCAGTAAAACACTTCTTACCTAGTTTCTAAAACAAAAAGAAGAAAAAAGTCATTATCAGCATAGGCTCCTTGTAAGCAAGAGATGCAATTACAAACTTTCCCACTTTTAAATGGGCATAAAGCCAGCTAACCCACACTTGTAGAAGTGGAGCAAATCCATTTGTCAAGAAAACATTTTCTGTTAGAAAAATTGCTAATCTAAATTCGATTTAATTAAGAAAGTCAGACATGGTTTCTTAGTCAATGTAAAATAAATGTGTACATCTAAAATGATAGTGTTGGCTCCTATTCTAAGTTGCCCTTCCCTTCATGTCCTTGACAAATCTGCAAGCTGATATTCTTTACAGACACAATTTTTTTTGACAGAAAAAAACCTAAACAGCTGTATCATCGTGTGGTTTAGGAAAACTGTATTAAATCCTAACAAAGTAGTTTAAACATAATTAAAAATTTCTCAGCAGCTAAAAAAAAAAAAAAATCACACAAAGCGTAAAAAATAAAAATAAAATAAACAAATAAAAGAACAGGACAAACCTGTAATCTTCCCTTGCCTTATCTTCTGAACTCTGTACTGAATTGATGTTCCTACCAGAAGATAAATGTCATATGCTGGATTTAAAAGGATGTTTTCCAAAATAAGCAGTCTGACTTCTGCAGGATGCACATGCTATTGGTTGAGGGGATAAAAAAAACCCACAAAAAATGAAAGAGCAACCACATTTAAAGCAGTTCATTTATTTGAAACAGACCATGCAGCAATAACTTATAATCTATAAGTGAAAAATATTACTTGCTGTAATTGGCTCTATATTATCATCTCAAATTTTGTCACAACAGGGAAATGCAAAGAACAATGAATGGTATAGAGATCTGCTCTGTGCATACTGTGCAAGGCTGAAGAAAAAAAATCAAGTCTGTATGGACAAAATTTTTATTCAGTTTTCTGGAGAATACAGAAAAACTGGAGACAGATGCACAATGACTATTCAGAAATCTAGAAATTTATTTTCCCTACCGTAAAACATGGTACCTCCATACAACATACCCTTTATAACTTCACTGAGGAATCTGTATCAAACTCATTGGTCTATTAAATTAGGAATACAACAGATAATTGTATAAATTCTATTACAGTTGTTTGAGGGATGTTCACTGAAAACGTGCAGTCTGGAAGCAGTGAAAGATTTAAAGGAACTACTAAGCAGAAAGCCATAAAAAATTGCCAACAGAAAAATATTATTTCAATTGCACTTACAGTATCAGCTCAAAACTAATTCAGAAAAACAAATATTAAAACAGAGAACTAATCAAGCTACAAGCATTCAAGAAAAAAAAAGAAGTCAGACTCATATTACATAGAGTAACTATATCCAGCATAATTATCAAAGGTAGAACTGTAACAAAAATACAGTTCTTAACACGCACTGTTATTGGTGCCACGTTACTAGTATTACATACATTTAGATAATATTCTCATAGAACACTTTTTATAGGTATGGGTTAGACAGTCCAAGGCAATTCTGCTTTAAGCAAAACCATTAAGTACGACATGTATTAACACAAATCTGCAAAACCAGACTGCAGACACAAGGTGAACTTCAGAACCCCCCCCATCATCTTATACAAGGATTTTTTTAAGGTGTAGTATTCTGTTGATACTAGCCCAATGTGAATTCCTGTAAGCGATAACCCTTAAAAACTCGCTCAGGTGTTTGTGAATTCTATTAAGAGAAAAAACAACTCTGTTACTAGAGTTAAATAAAAAACTCAGTCACCACAAGTTACAAAGACAGAAACAGCATCCCATAGCAGCTGGGAAGATCGCCAATACTGCAGTTTAACGCCCTTGCAGCACTGACATTCTGATCCCAAATCCCTTCCTTGGAGACCAGAATCTAATGAAGTAGAATTAGACACTAACAAAGTAGTCATATGACACTCATTTCAAGCACAACAGGAAACAAAGGTATATCCAACATAGCAATCCTTATTCTAGTTAGTTATTTATTGAAAAAAAGACCTGAAGTGTCCTAGTTGGTTATTTTTCAAGAGACCTAAAGGGCCAATGCCCTATCCAGCATGATTCTAGTTAAACAAATGACTATGAGGAATAATAAAACTGTACAGAGGTATTTGAAGTGTATTCCTCTGCCGCAGGGCCTTTTGTCAGAGAGTTAGGTTTAGAAACGATCTGTGGCACATGCACCGTCCGGGGTCAGGTAACTGCATCAAACTCCAAGCCTTTCAGGGTGATCAACAGCAGCACTGTCATCTTTTGTGATATGGGCTACAGAGTCCATCCAGTAAGACAGAGATGCAGCACTGATACCCACAATGGGAACAATACGGCAGGGCAAACTCATAGTATTCCTGTAACATCGGACTACACAACTAAATAATAATATATATTTAAAAAAAAAAAAAGATGAATGCAAATTTCTTACCTTATAGACATTTTCCTGTATTCTTGCTTTTAATTTAGAACTCCCTGTTTTCATTCCAGACACCAAAATGGTATCTCCTTGCTTGGCAACTTTTTCCATCTCCGATATATAGGAAGGTGGAATATAAGTGGATTCTAAGAATTTGAGTATACTGAAAGGTGAACCAAAAAGAAAATAGAAAACTGTTAACCAATCTTTGTAAGCCCACAGAGAAACACCACCAGCATCTATTCCCAGCTATTTCCACTTTTGGGCAAATTTTAAAAGTCTGCCTGGGACCAGATACCCACATTTTACTCATTCTTCAAGATATCTGCAGCTAATTTCTATGACTGATAAAAGTTTGTTTGAAGCTTGTTTGTGGACTTTCAAGAGATATCAGAAGACTGCACATGCTGCCTATAATGATCCCTCTGGTTTTTACAGTAGGTGTGGACTGCAAAAACTAGATTATTGTGGAACAACTGATGTGAAAGACCCAAAGCTTATGTTTATAAAAGCTACAGCTTAACAAACCAGAACATAACTTTGACCTATATGAAGAAGTTAGGATGCATTTAATAAATGACCATGAAAAAAATCCTTGGGAGTAACTGTTAGAAATTTCAATGAGATGTGACAACAGAGAAGAAAGGAATTTGCCATGAATGGGTAAACCACAGGACAGAAATTGAAAGAGGACCATGTACTCCTGTGTGCACATGATCTGTTCGGCTTTATGTGCACTTTCATAGTAAAAGCAGTAAAGCCTTATGAAAAACAGTTATGAATATTAACATATTTATGACAGCTTATAATTTATTTCACAAAACTGTAATTAAAACATTTTTATGTTATCATAGCTGTACTATCAGTAGAGCATATATCCACATTAGTTTGGTTAAAATCACATCTCTAGCAAATACTTATACCGAAACAGAAATCTCCGTACGGACTAGGCCTTGGATGACGAGTCCCACTAAACGATCAGCACACCGTCTGGCTCTCACTGTAGATAGGAGCTACACACTCGTACCTGCAGCTTCAGGTGCATTATGGGCTTAACAGGCTTTCCACAGGTAATGCTCTATGTTTGCTTCTCTAAGGCTGCAAAATTGGAGTTTGTGTTTACCCAGTAGCAAAGAGCCTTATTTGCTATCCCTACACCATCTCTGATGTATTTGGAATATAGGTTTGAGGGTGGAATTTAACCATTAAGCAGTCTGCTCTCTAAGAGAGCTGGTTTCCTCACGTGCTAGGCACAGAATCACCATACAAATAAAGCCAGGTTCTTTAAAGGAAGATATAGTTTCCTACATTATTTTATGTCCTGCAATCTACCTACGTTTTGCTGGAACCTGATTTCTGAGGTAACTGAAGCCTCTGGTGCATGAGTTTGAATCTATTTCATCTTACAAACTTATGGAAGCTTTGACTAAAGCTGTACTGAAGTGTCTGTAAACTGTATCATGAGAAAAAATCAAGTTTCATGCATTTGCAGTCTGGTCAAATTCATGTGCATCAGGAAGGCATTTTTTTCTACCAACATTCACATTGAGCAAAGCCAAGATTCACCATGGCATGCAATATGATGAATACTAGAATAATACTGCTAGATAACGACATCCTGGTGTGTTGACATCAGCTGGTGTCAGTGGAAAGGTAAAACTCCTGGAGTTCGACTTGAAAAATATCCCATACAAGGTACTGGTAAGTGGCCTTCCATTCTGGTTAGTTTACTAAGGATGGAAACTCAAATTTCTGTTTGAAGCCACTGAAGAACAGAACAATAGTCATCAGTGTAAAAGTACATAATGCACATGCCTAATAAAATAATAATAATAGTAATTAAAAAGATCCCAACACATCAAACTTAACGGACACGAGACTTTTGAGAACAAATTAAATGAACTTACCGTAAGGCATTGTGGGAATCTGAGAAGCCATCAGCCTCTGTGTCTTTCACTATTGTCCAGTCAAAAACTAACCCTGCCAATGTGCTGAAAGTGTTTCCTATAAATCAAACAATCAGATTAAAACAAAAATAAACAACAAGCACAGAATCTTCCTGGAACACAAACTATGAGTCTTGCACCTAGGAAATTCCCTACCTTATCCCAAAAAGAAGCACCTCCGGTATTTAGTTAAAAATCACAATCTACCTTGCTTTACTGACTTTGGCAAATTTAAGCTATTTCTGTTAGCTGGCTTTTCTGTTCACATTTTGCAACACCATACGCCACTTTATGTTCTTCACAAAGCTCACTAGATAGGTGCAGGTGTCACCACCTATCCTCCACTTGTCAGCCCCTAAGAGATCTTTGGCACCCACCACCCCCTTTCCCTTTTGACGACAAAAACCTTACTATTTCTGAGCTGCTCATCTGAAAGATCTTACAATCTTCAGGATGAGTCTTGCTCTGAATTGCAGTGTCCACTGGCACAAATAAATATGGAACTGAAATCCCAGTATTTACTATATTCTAATATAGTTTTTCATTTGTGTTACTTCCTTTGACATTTATGTCTATATTAATAAACTAGGAATCAAAGCAAATTTATTATCAAATTCTTATTCTTAAAGGTTTATGACATTTTTAAGCCACAAAAATATTTTAAGACAAGTTAACACAACACACTGCCTATGTTGTTTCTCCCATTTCTGTACAACTTACTGCAGATAGCTCCAAATCCCAAATAAATAGGATTTTAAACACAAAACTCTAAACACACAAGGCAATACAATTAAAATTGATTGACACTGGATGATTTAACATGCATTCAAGTCTAACTTTAATGATGCATACTTTAGCTTTGCAAAGCTGTATTACGCTCTTGTTTTGCTCCAGTTGAAAATAACGACAGACATCGTGGCACTACGGAGAGGCTATACCCGGACACAGCCAGAGCCGCAGCGAACTGGTAGCAAAAGCATGAAACTGTCCTTACAGCCTCTGAACCATCACTGGGCCTGGATGTCCTGGCTCCTGTTGGGGCCCCTAACTACAAAGGCAAAGTCAGGTTACCAAAGACAAACTATCATTCCCCAGCTGATGCAGGGTCTCACTCATTCAAGACAGGTTCAGGTATTTCTGCAGCACCGAGGGCAGCAGCTGTCTCCAGGTTAAGCCTGTCAGAGGCGGCACCCAGGGATGCAGACAGGTAATTGGCGCTTGTCAGGAACTGTATTATGTCTTTGTCTTTCCCTGCAGGATCACACAGCTGTCACGGGAGCGGCAGGCCAGCTGCCCTGGCCAGCTGTAACATTACCCTCTCAGGCTCCTCAGATGTCAATGTAGGCAGGGACTTGTGCTCCTGCTCCACAGCCGCAACCAGCCCAGAGCTGCGATGCTTCAGCAGAAAAGTGGCTCTCACTGGCAAGGCTGCAGCAGACCCCAGTAAGTAGGGAGAGCTGTCTTGATGTGCTCAGCTCCATCGCTGGGGCAGGAAGCCAGTGGTCCTTGCGCACTCATAGCCGAAGAAACACAAACTCACATCTTTAAGTCTTTCTCTTATGTAACTTGCCTCTAGTTAAGTCATAATAAAACAACTTCAGCAAAGTTGAACAGATAAAAGAAAACAATATATAACATGACTTTCTTCCCCTCTGCATTCTATACTTAACTTGGCCAAAGATCTCCATGATTATCTTCCTCTCTTGCATTAGTAATCTTTAAAAAGTAGTATTTGGGGATCAAGTTTATATTTGGAGTGGCTCATTAAAAACATGTACAAAAAGGAATCTGCATTACTGTAACTTAATAAAAAAATACAGCCTATGAAAAAAATAAGTGTACTAGATATATACATATGGAAGAGAATAAGGAAAGAAACTATTCCTGAAGATATAGCGATACTCACAGGAGTAGAATCATCAATATTAATGAATGGTCTGACCCATACCAGATGCAATAATGACCATCAGCCCAAAACAAATCACACTTGGTACATCCCTAGGGCCCACTTAACTACTTTACATAGCAGGGAAAAAGCTATGTCACTGCAAAGTTGTATACATACAATGGCCGATACAAAGCATCCATTCTCTCTCCCTCTCACACAGGCTGCAGTAACAGGCTTGACACCCGTTCTTTGTGCAAGTGTTCAGCAAAACTAAGCAGATTTTTCTCAATACTCATTGAGCTGGATAATTATTTTACATTGATTTTTTCACCTTCTGAATATTAAACATAAGTGTTCAGAAGTCCTTTATTCAATTCTCTGACTTTTCCTGAACAATTATGTCCTTCAATAAACTTGCTACTGCTCCTGAATTTTTTTTTTTTTTAAAGCGTGCCAAAAAAGACCACTGAGAGTCCAATATGTCCAAAGGTCTCCCAAGGATGGATCCCAAGGTTATCTGGGTCAAAGGAACTGATTTTCAAAGCTTTTAAGCGTATCCTGATCCCCCAAACTCAGACCAGGAAGTTTAGTCCTATGGCTACTAACCAACACCTTGTTTCAGTCATGCAGACTAAGCATTCTTTGCAGGTTTTGTACCACCACTCCTGTTCAGACTCTAACTTGGGTGGCTTCCAGGGCAAATTTGTCCATTCAGCATGCTTGAGAGTTTGCAGAAACGCCAAGCCAAGAATCCAGTATTATGCATAGTATAAGAAAACGAAATTACTTTTCATTAACAATATATTGACATACAAAACCTGGCATTCATGGTTTACAAACAAACAAATGTAGGATGAGCTCATTAACTACCCAAAACAAACAATTCAACCTTTTATAGCTACTTTACATACCATTTCCTTTCAGTCCAGGAGTTGTCCTAAAAATCACTTGGTTTGTGTGAGTGTTGATGTGCGCATAAAAATCAATTGTTGAAACCAAAGCATGAAATTCTTACCAACATCATGGTTCTTTTTCTGATGCTACAGACAGTAGCAGAAGCTTTCTGCTCCTATTAAATAATTACGCATTCAGTCCAAATGCACTGATGTCCCAAAAGCAAGTTTCTATAATGATTACAGGATATTAATCCAAGCAATAGGTGGTTGGTCTTCAACATCATCTCTGAACACCCTGTTGGTTGCTTGATTGGACTCAGATAAAATGTCCTTTTGCAAAATTCTTTAGACTATCTCAGGTCAAAAGAAAAAAAAAAAAGAAAAGAAAAAGAAAAAAAGAACAGACTACTTCACATTCCAGTGCGGCCTTGCTCAGCCTAGTTAAATCCTGGTGGGACACTTCAACAGGACAAGTGTTAGGACTTTTTCCATTACATTCTTACTCTTGACCTGGAGGTAGAATTGCTAAGAGCTGACACCTTTATTTTATTTATTTTAAATTCTGATTTTTAAAAATACGCTTAACACTGGAGTTAAGTTTCCCCGGAAAATCAGGAAAAAAGGCAAGCAAAAGTTGTTGGAAGTGAAGCAGTTTTTGATTTTCCTATTCAGGTGGATTTTACACTTACACAAAACAATAGGTTAACTTAATATATTATCCAAAGAACTCACTTTAAATTACTCAGCTTGGCTTCTAACATTCAGTTGTGTTGCAAATAAAATCAGTGCATGTATCAGACAATTAAGAGTTTCAACATACATATTATCTCCTCCTAGTAAAACTCTTACCTTCAGAATCCAGAGCCTGAATTTTTAGCTCCAGTGGTGAATCTTCAAGATAGAGTTCTCTTGTTGTGGATACAATTTGGATGTCATGAATTATATCAACTATAGCATCACAACGAAGTACTTGCCCAGTCACTTGAAGAGACATCAGGAAGAGCACATGAAATCAGCAACACTGGACATGCTCACTGAGAGCACCAACACCACAAAATGCACCTCAAATTTAGCTAATGACGCAAGACACTGAAGGAACTGAAATTAGGTCATGACCTCGACTAAGAAACTCTTAGTCAAATGATAAGCAAGAATAGCCGTTCCCTTCCTCACTTTAGAATAAATCTTTTAAAAATTGTGATTTCCATCTACATTAACAGTTACAGACGTTTTCTCTGAGTAAGTATCAAGAGTTTCTACAGTGCAGCTGTCAAACATGGCTCATGCCCTAGAGAACTTAATGACTTTTACCCACAGACAACAAACCCCTATATACGTCTTCACTTAGTGACTGCAGGACATTTAACTGACCATCAGTTTTTGCCTATGTACCATTATAGAAATTAACCAGGTATATTGTATGACAGACACAAAGGCAATTTCCAGCTTTCTAAATGCAAAACATCTGAATTTGCATTATATAAAAAATATGTACTGAAAATTATTTTCAGCTGCCCTCCCCCCCCCCCTTTTTTTTTAAAGAATGACTTTTTTTCCTGGATATATCATTAATATTAATATGTATTGGAGGCCTTTAACAAACAGAACTTTAAAACCATGTCCATGGAAAGTCTAAAATGACAATGCATATGAATGGAAATTTCTTGTTTCATGCACTTTTAAATCTCTACTTTGTTTCTGGAGGATGCCAGCATGCCCATAAACAAGTAGTGGTGGGCTTACAAAAGTTAAAACTTACTTATATCTTCAGCAAAGATGATACTTGTCAGACGTGTGGGCTGTGAGGATCGTGCCTGGACAACAGCTTTCTGCGAACACTGGCGCTCATCCTGATCTGCTGGCTCGATGCTTGCAACCTCTGGTCTGGTGGAGGACCTACAAGATTATTTGGGATTTAAGTTACTGCTAGACAGAAGTCAAAGGCTGGTTTAAAAGCCACTAAAATAATTTACATGAGACATGCTACATTGTCAGGACCCGACTTTCATAAGAGCTGGATTGCAACAGATCCTTGAAGGCTTCAGCAAAGGCAAGCGCGGGCTGAGGGAGGGGGAAAACACAGACCAGAAGCCCACCAGAGCCCAGGCAGACAAATGCAGCGTTCCCTCTACTGTGGTGTGTTCACTGCTGAATGCAATTCAGTCAGTTCAGAGCTGTATCCAGCTACTTAACCTCGTTACAAAGCCTTTGGCCTATTTATTAGCTTAGAGGCGTGGAACAAGCAAAACTGCATACAGAATGCTGAAGTAGAAGGTAAAATAATTTTAGCTAAAGCTCCACTCAACACTTGTAATTGCATTTTCAAAACAATTTTGAAATAAAGTTCTGAAAAAGTTGGAAGTTTTCCCTGATGACAGAACACTACAATTATGTGTGTTTGCTATGGCAGAAGCTCTGAACAAGAAACAATCAACATTTTTTAATCAAGAAATTAGATTTAAAAAGTATTTAGTCTGTTTGGCTGAAGCATGTAACACTGTGTAAAACACAGAAAGTTGTACAATCATCTTTGGTGAAATGTAAGCCTACATGGAATTTTGACCTAAAATTGATGCATCTGTTACTTCCTGCTCTGCCTTGTATGGCTTTTCTAAAGACAACTGCTCCAGCAATGAGCTTGTGGGAAGCTCACCATGGATGTGGAGCCTAGTTCTCGCTTTCTGTGTGCCAAAAATGGCAAGATGAGGAAAAAAAAAAAAGTTTAAAAGTTATTAAAAGCCAAGCCTTTTGAAATTAAATTTGAGATAGTAGCAATATACATCTAAGGCCTGAATGTAGAGTGCTCAAAGCAATTAAAATATTCAAGCAGGCCATACCTCTTGCAAATAGTTAACAAATGTCACCCCTCCGAACTGGGATGAGCCGCTGACTAAACCGTTTTGGAGAATTGGATCAAGGCTGCTCTATGCAGCTCCTTGCTGACGCTACATCTGCAGGAGTTACTGCAGAGGAAGCAGAAAGGCAGCCTGCTTGGACTTCAGCTCAGAGCCCAGCACCCTGCTTAAGCCGCTAATGAATTAAGCGCCTGAAACAGACATGGCTGTTTGCTCAGGGATCCTGAATCAAAGCTCCTTCACAAGGGTTCTTTGAAGGATTAAAACAATGAAAGAAAGCACTGATGACAAAGCTGTTCAGGAATTGCTTCTCCCAGATGATGACAGCAGTTCTGATGAAAGCACTGCATTATCTGGTAAGTGCAATCTAAACCATAGATCCTCACCTGGTCAAGATGGCGAAGCTGGATTGATTTAAACTTTCCTTCTGGTGGATGTTCAAACGTGCCTACCTGTGATCTACAGGAAAATCTCCTAGCTCAGCAAGGAGCTGGAGGGGAGTTCCAAACAAACAGAAATACCATACATGCCCTTCTCCCCAGACCTAGGTTTTACTTTACTACTGGCAGAACCAACCAATTCAAGACAGCGAAGAATACATTTGCTTGTTAACTAAAGCTGTATCCATTTCAAAAAATAACATATCACAGTATTTTCAGTTATCTTGCAGTTAACAGTTGCAGTCCAGCAACCATGGACCAATTTGGTTGTAATCACAGGAATAAAATTGCAAATCCTGTTTTCAACCTTAAGCAACAAAAAGCACAGTTTTGAAAACAAATGCAATTGTGCAAGACCCCGACATCCCTTTGGTTCGAAGCAGTCGGTAAGACAGTGAACACTGCATTTCTCAAAGAAACTTCACATGAAACAAAACCACATTTGTGTCAGCTCTCTGATTCCCTACATATGGGTCTGGATTTTATCATACTATGCTGTCCAAACCATGAGGCCCCAAAACTTTGTAATCCAAGGGCACAAAACCCAGTCAGAACATTTTTAATTGCGCACGCTAGTGGCAGCATACAGGTTCATTAGACACTGCATAGCAGTAATACCCTTTTGTCTTGGGCAAAATTCATTAATTTCATGAATTATTAATACATAATTTTGGTGTGCTCCCAACAATATTTTGCTTACACAAAGACTAGTTTTAAAGGATTTTGAAACAACAGTAGCAACTGCTAAGCTATAAATTTCAAAGTACGTTATCTCATCAAGGAAAAAACCACCCACAGCAGTATACCGCTGACAATTTAAACATCAATTAGCAGCTAAAACCTGAAAATTGTTTGTTATATTCTAGATACCTAAGCAATGTACACAAATATGAGCATATGTTTTTATACTAGGGTTTACACTGTTTCTGAAATAATATGATTTTTTTTCTGTATTAGTAGTACAGTTCACCATACAGCGATTAATTTAAAAGCGAACAATTAGTTATTTTCCTGTTATTCTGTAGCTTCTTAGGTAACCACAAAACAGTTTTCCAACATTTAGCAAGTTTCTTTCAACAAGGTTAGTATTCACAACCAGTAAGGCTTTTTCTGTACCTGGCTGGTAGGCTTGTTAAGCTGAGCATGCGGATCTGACACGCATGCAAGCATTTTAAGATTAGCATTATATGTATGGAATTGACTTGTACTTTTGTTCTTTAGCTCATTACATTGCTTAATATTCTCTGTCATCAGATTATTTTTTTTATCAATTTTAGGGTTTTGCGTTCTTACAGTCTGAAACTGATTGTGTTTACGACACAACAGGGGTTTCACTGTGTTTTGTATTTGTTCTTTTAATATATGGTTATGTATTGTAATACATAACCACCACAGTTTGCACTAATAGCGGTGTTGTAAAACTAAATCTAATTACAGGATATTTTTCAGACTACAAAAAGGAAGGAACAAAGAAAAACTGAAAGTGTGCATTAAATATAAGCTCTAAACTTGCATACAGTCCACAGTTATAAAGGAACTTTTCCAGCTGAATGCCAGTTAACTCTTAGGTGTTACTGGAATAGGGAACCTGAAATTAGATACTATGTGGCCTCTAACAGTAGTTTAAAATAGGAGGTAGAATATCAGCTGAATTTCTTACTTTTTTAAAAATACAGATACATTTTTCATTTTATTAGCAATAGGATGTCTGCCGTTTTAGGCAATTACCTGAACCGGGCAGGTGAAGCAGGGCCTTTCCGAGGCTTGGTTTACTATTGTTCTACATTAAAAAACAATCTGCATGACTATTGGTTTTTATACTGCAACATATGACATATTTGATGACGCCTTGATATCATTCTTTGATATCAAAAGCATGTTCTGTTTACAGCTACATCCAATTCAGGGTCAAGCACAGAAAGGATAAGGCACTAATCAAACAGGCTGTACATTACAGTGGCATTAACACACGCAGGGATCACTACCGTGTCCTAGATGGACAAGAAAAAGAAACTTTTGCTTTAAAAGAAGACTGCAATTTATATCATCTTCCAATTACAGCAGATCTTCGGCAGCACGTCAGTGTGCAATATTGAGAGCTAGGCTTGTCAGAGGTCAAAATTAGATCCTGAGAAGCAAGCAATGGGAAGCATTTCTGGCACTGGCTCTTGACCCCATACCAGTGTCTGTAAGAAAAGAGCGAGGCAGGGGAGGAAGCATTAGAAAGAAGAGCGAGGAGGTGAGGAAGAAAAGCTAACAAAAGTCCCAATATTTCCCTCAGAATAAAATCCTAGTGGCAGAGAAATTAATGACACTTGCAATAAAGACTGCCAGTCCTCGTGCTGATTTCCATTTCATTCATGATTTTCAGCCCCCAGACACAGAAATGTGTGCCAAGACTGTATCTACAGATGTACCCAAACCTATGCCTGCGTTTTTTTAATCAACTGTTCTGTAGTATCACATGCGAATACTTCAATGATTACACTTAACTTATTTATCAGCCGGTTTAAAGATCAGGTAAATATTGTTCTTTCCCTCAGTCTAGCAATACTCTGTTGATTCTTATTACTTCAGCATTTCATATTGTTTTGTTGGCTCTTCAGACTAAACTCAGCTGACTAAATTAGCAAAAATCCACCTTTGTGGAGATGCACCATGACTGGTGGTTGAGCTAATCTTGTAGAATTTGTATCAGCCATGTGGGGAGAGACATAGTCAGAGGGAAATTGGATGCTAAAGGTGTTCAAAAGTTTGGTGAGACTGGATTGACCAATACATTAGGCACCTTATTTCTAGTCGCTCCTGGGACTAACACTGTTGACATACAAACACGGAGACACAAGAGCCAGAACAGCATCCAGGCAACTGTACTTGTATGATAAAAAACAGATTCCCAGAGAACCAAGGATATCGGAACTGAACCCATTCCAAAGAAAACACAGAGGGAGCCTGGCAGAGTTCCCTCAACTCTTAAGGATTGTTAACACCACAGTGGCAGATTATCTATTGTTTGGTCAGTCCTCTCCTAGGATGTTTCTTATTTTACTGGGAAAACAAAAAACAGCAAAAAAATCCTCCATCCAGTTCTGCTTTAAAAGCAAATGGAAACATCACACACCACAGGATGAGCCAAGGATGAAGCTTTTGCTTATGGGATATTATAATGGTGATCAGCTGGCATGCCCATTGGCTTCAAAGGAAGCAGAGTTAAGCCAGTGATGATTGTTCTCAAAATCCAACCCGGATGCCCAACTGTAACTTTGATATTTTGTCAAATCAACTGGTGGCCAAAAGCATTTTACATAAGTGCTTATCTTTGTATCTCTTCTAGCTGCATGAAGGAAAACAGCATGCCACACTATCCCTCTGCTAACCATCTTCCCACTAAGAGAATGCAATAAATAAAGGTTGGTCTACACAAGTTGTTCTGAAATTAGCTTAGCCTGATTTCAAATTAGAAAATAAAACTAAAAAATAGCAGTTTAGTGCCAAACTTGTAAAAATGTCACATTTTGCATTACTTCAAATTATCCACTCTGTTAAACCTTCTCCCATGTAGACACCCTCAAAGCTTCCATTACTGAGACCCACACCCAAAGAGAACAAAAAACATTTCATGGGTGTTCAGCAATGAAAGCTGCCCAAAAATTAACCACAGTCCCTACTCTTTCTGTCCTCCTTCCCAGGCAGGTTACGCTCAGATTCAGAAAAAGTTCTTTCAACAGTAAACCTGCACTGCAAGTTGACACATCAGCTAAGAGGAAAAACCATGATTATTTCTTCTGCCTCTTCAACTCTGGCAGAATGTCTATGCTGCAGACTCATGCTACCCGCTCTCGTTTTGAGCCAAACATACTCAGGCAACACAGATCTGTGTCACAGCAGTACAGCCCATCTCACTTTACCAACAAGGATACCTCAGCCCAATTCTGATCTTGTTCTGGTACCTACAAGAGCTTGAAGCCACACTGGGAAAGCACACGCCACAGTGCACCCAGCCCACCTGGCAGTCAGCAGCACAGGTACCTCCCAGAGAGAGGGAGAACATTTTGCTGCCTGCTACGGTGGCCTTACAAGTAGGAAATGCAGAGCAGGTGAGAATCAAAGAAAGGAGTAAGGATAGCAGGGGATAACAATCATTATTTAAGATGACATTTCATAATATGGAAATTAACAGTCAGTATCTCACACAAGACATTTTTCAGTGAGTCAAAGACAGGGTGTTTTAGACCTGTGGTAAACCAAGTAATCCAGGAAACAACAACAAAACCCCCAGAATACCAAAGGTGGAATTGTCAGCCTTACAGCAAAGTAACAGACCTCCATCAGCAACGCTCTGTTTAATATAGATTTTTAAAACACATAAGCCACCACATACATCCCATAGAGTGATAAGACCAATTTACAACCCAATATCAGAAACATGACAAGATAAGGAGCTAGAAAATGAGCTTTGCCAGCCAACTACTGCAGCAGCAGTGCTGTATATAGATTTTGGGTCCTCTGGAAGTACCTGTGCATCAGGCAGCTCAACCACCACTCAGGCACTGGATCTCTCACTCCAGCACTCTGATACCTGCTTCTCTCACAAGGGCAATTAGCTTTATGTAACCTTGTCAGTGACGGCTTCAGGAGCACATGCAAACCCTTCTATTTAAGATGGCAATAAACTCTCCTTCATATTTGCAACAAACAACACTGTACAGGGCCATTATCACCTTTGAAGCTGTAACCTTTCCATAGCAAAACCCCTGACTCCAACGGTCCGTGGTTCAAATTCAATCAGTTGTATTTCTCAAGGCTAACTCCTGAAGCTTAAACTTTCCACCAGTTATCACCACGTATCTCAATTCTACAAGATATGAAATAATAATGTTACAGATGTGTAAGCATATTTATATGCTACAGATAATTTCTGCTATAAACACCCTGCCATGCTGTATACCTTTGGGTTTTTGTTTTTTTTTTAATTTTGTGTGTTCCCCCTCACCTCCCCAAATGTTGTTATGGTAAGGCAGATTTCAAGGACAGAATTCTGCTTCTGAATGCTATCATTCTTCCAGGTGTAATTTCTGGATTAAGGTAATTAAAAGATAAATACAGATGTAATTTAAATGCTAAATATATCCGCACAGACCGTGTTTTATCCCAGAAGATAGTACCATGTACAATATTTACAGATGGGAACACCATATGCTTTGAAAACAAAGCTTATACCAAAAAATAACTTTAACATAAAGGCAACCCAAACTCCAGAAGGCATGAGCATCTTGAAAATCAAAATACTTTAAAGCCATGCTTGTAACTTCATCCCTGCTCCCAATCTGCTGGGATGATGATAAAATTCGACCTTTTCCCTTTGAATCACCGGAATTCTCAGACACCACTACAATCACTTTGAAATCTCCTACTTTCAGAGGTAAACTTGAAGCCCCAAAGGGAAACTGGAAAGAAATAAGGTCACAACATGCCACAGACCGATTTTTCAAGAAATTGGACACTCGGGTATGAATTCTGAATGTTTGAGATAAGTAATGCAGTCTTGCAAATACTCAAAGGATGTCTTTTGAAGACAGGTGCTGCTGTAAGACAAGAACAGCTTTCATACGCTACCTCTAACCTCGCAATCACCTATGTTACACCTCAGTCCCCTCTCCAGACACAAAGGGCCTGAACCGTATCATTTCCATTCCAAATCCCTGCTTTCGTGTATGCAAACTCGCCCATCATTTTATAAATCCCAGGTGAGGAATAGTCACTGCTTCTGTAGTCACTACATTTGGTACTTCCCAACTTCTTCAGTTTAATGGCCTCCCTCCAGTAAAAGCTATTACTGACAGTTTTAACAGGAAAGCACAGGAAACTTGTCAGCAAGCCGCTGTGGAGTTGCCTGCCTCTCCAAAGTACACTTCTTTCTAATTCCCTACAGTTCAAGGCCTGCGGGGGCAAGCATATAGAGGGAAAAATCTAGCAACGTGCTCTGAGCACCGCAACGAGCGTTACTGCTTCTGCTCAGTCACAGACACAGCTACTGCTTCCTTCTGATGCTTTTGTAAGCACTCGGGGAGTTTTACGACCCACATCCTGCCAGTCCCTGCAAAGCAGAAGTGAATACATACATATTTACAACCCTGGTACAGAATGATGACACACCCTGTATGAAGTTGGTATAGTTCCCTTCATTCTCAACCAAAATTAATCTCTGAAGGGCAGACAGGAGAGGATGGAAAAGCATGTTGAAGCCTATCTGCATGAGGGATATGACCCATCGCTGGCCACTGACACCAATATAACATGCTCTGAAGTGCCTACAGGTAACCCTCATTGGAGATACACACGTGAACCAAATCTGGTATTCCCCTGGAGTACAATCTTACATATTTTAATCTGTAGATCTTAGTGAGATTTACAAAGGTCTACATACTTTTAACAGTTGGATAGCGCCTGGCACATACAGGGATGGCTGTAGCCAGCCCAGCATCACCGAGCGGTTTGCTGGCAAAATAGGAAAGACCTATAGTCTACACCTCTTAGATTTTACTCGTACTTTGGTGAGCTTGGTTTTTACCTTCACAGAATATACTTTACCACATAAACCAAATCTTTTTAAAGACTCAGTTGCCTTTAGAGTAAGGAAAAAGAAAAACCACATATTTGTGAGATTCTCACTAAAATGGTCCATATAAAAATTAAATTAGACAACCACATGCAGCTCATCTACTAACTTCCTTTCAGTCAACTTTTGGAGGAACTCTGATTACCGCTCTTGTGCACAAATACCCTCAAACGTTTAATTTGTCACAGATGAAAGGCCTGTAACCAGCCCAGGGATGAGAAGTGTAGGAGCACCAGGTAAATAAATCAATGCAGAGTGAAAACACAGACCTGCAAGATGTATTTCAATAACTGTCAGCCACAATAAAACAGCTGAAAACTGCTACACACATCCACCTGGCACATGGAAGGATCATCCTAAACACATCTTGACTGCCACATTTTGTTCCTCCTGCTCACTACTGATCCAAATTACAATTCCAGTACGCTAAAGGAAGGATGAGGAGTTGGTAACACTTGTTTAACTCAAAGACTGCGACACAGTTTCTGAATATGCACACGCCATGGTATTTGCTGTCAGCCCCCGGTGCTCAACACAACCCAGACCTGCCACCTGCGAGCCGGGCCCGCAGGCCTCCCACTGCATGAGGCAGGACAGGGGCTGCCAGCCAGAATATATCCTGCGCCTCAGCACCAAGGCCTCCAAAAGAAAACCAGGAAAGATACAATCTTTTCAAACCTGACTTTGCCTTCCCCAGGGGACGTGCTCAGAGCCTACGCTCACAGCAGCACCAAGAGGCTCTCACCTCAGATAGGTGCTGCGGCACAATCCCTCCATCTTTACACCCACGCCCCAAACTCAAAGCTGTAAGTCCTTCATTACTGACCCCGGCGAGGGAAGGGGTATTTCCACACCAGCAGCGTTGAGAGCCCTGGGTGCTGTCCACACACATGTGGGGCTGCGGGGCAAGTGTGTGCAGGGCGGCAGGGTGAGCACACTGGGCGTGTGTGGAAGCAGGGTGAACACACATGGAGTATGTGGGGAGGCAAGGTGGGCACACGTGGGGTACATGTGTCAGCAGGGTGGGCACACGCGGGGTGCAAGGCGCATGTGGGGAACCCAGCCATGGCAGGAAGCTTCCTCACAACAGGGACCTTCCCCTCAGGGCCTTTTCAGCCCCAGCCTACAGCCAGAACCACTCTCCAACGGGTTTAACCCCCATTGCAGAAAAAAAAACCCAAAACCAAACCAGCGATGGTTTGTAAAGCCCAGCCTTTCCTCTCAGAGATCATCTCCATTTCTGCCCCTACACTGCTGGGCCACTCGGAAAAACACCCAAAGTAAGGTGAAACCGGCG